AAAACCTGGTATGCTAATTTATGTGAGAATAAATTTGTGACGTCAAGAGCAGGGGAAACAAATATTGTCAATATAAAATAGTATGCGTGCGAACACATTCTACGAAGATTTTGACCAAAAAGTGCGGATGAACTCCAAATTTTTTTGTATAACTGCGTAAAAATTTAGCGCTACTACTCTACTGTGTGTTTCAGCTGTGTTTTTGAAATAAACGCGTTGATTTCGGCGGTAAAAGCTCTTAGATTATAAATGATTGGCCATATGCATAGTCTGGTACTATGTCAATATGACAATATGCTCGCCTACTTTGTGGACTTTTATATTTACTGTTCTCGGTGATCACGGCTATGACCACATCAACAGGAACAATATCGCATAAATAAATACTATAAAATGACTGAGAATATGTTTTGATTCTTTGCAATTCGCGTGCAAAAATCGTTTTGATGTTCTTGTGATATAAATAATGAGAACAAATTTGTTTATAAACTTAATTTTAATAAAGCATTAATATATACACCACTGCACTTTAATAGATAATAGGACAATTGCAAATTATAATAACATTTGTTGTAGGAAATTGGGGTTGCATGCTGCACATTATATAATAAAGCTGATTACATCGAAGGAATTAGAGGATCTTCAACCTTGGATTTTGACTCAGTTCAAAAACAGTTTAAATTTCAAACCTGTTTCGAGCACCCAGGCCGAGGGCTACTTTATTGAACAAATTTCAACGCTGTCAACAGTATAAAACTAGTTTATCCCCAGGCTTGAAAATGCTTCATGTAATCGGCACATACTATAGAGTTATTATTAAAAGAGTATAGATTTAGCCAAATTTGAATAAATGAACATTCAAACATGACAATCTCAAAGCCCCAAACCGCTCTCGAATACACAATTCCCATTATAGATTAATTTTAAAACTAGGCAAGGAGATGCAAATAAATCACCACAGCTAGAAAGAGCATACTAAAATGGGTAACATTGCAAAGCTTGGTTGCGAAATGTTGTAAAATGCGGAAAACATAGCAAATTTTGTATACTTTTGTATTGCGTGCGTTAATTGCTACCACATTTGGGCCGAAAATTAGCAATTTCCGCACGCAATACAAAAGTATACAAAATTTGCAAACTTTGCAAGGCTATATGTTCTGCATTTTACAACATTTCGCAACTAAACTTTGCAATTTTACTCATTTTAGTATGCTCTTTCTAGCTGTCGTGATTTATTTGCATCTCCTTGCCTAGTTTTAAAATTACTCTATAATGGGATTTGTCTATTATTGTGTGAACACACGCATGCTGTGAAGTGGCCTTCTGTTCTTATTCCCCCAGATCTGAAATACCCAACGCGAACATCGTTGGAAGCTACTAGTCTATAAATTTTGTGTATCTTGTCCAAATCTTTGTCATCCAGAGGCCAGTTTAATATCTTCAAGATAGCGACAAACGTCTATTTAATAGCCCTTCCGACAAGCATGTTTGCTTTCAATTCTGCATGTATTGACAGTGTTGTAAAGGCAGTCGAGCACTTCTCCCCTTGGGTTTCAGCCTCCTTTAATCATGCATCTTATTCATCGTAGTCTAACGCTTTATCGTGGCAACAAAACAATTCAATATCTTTTGGCTTCAATGTGCAATGCGCCAAGCATTTTCGACCTCAAACACATTACACATCGTGATTTCCTCGTCAGACGATTCACTCTGTTCTTCGGAGTCGCTCTCGTCACCGCTATCGCTTGTTTGTAAGCCCAGTTTAGGTTCAAATTGATAAGGTAATACCTTATCTACTTGATATCGTGGATATTTTCCATCCGAGTGATGAAAAAGCGCCAAATTTCTCACTAGAAGTACGAAGTCGCAATATGCGCCTAATAAAATATATTTGTTGTTTTGATTCTACCCTGCTATTGACGTCACACACGTCATGTGACCCAAAAGATAATTTTTTTGAAAATCGATCCAAGATGGCGGACGTACTGAATATTTATGGTGAAATAACTCGAGAACAAAACATTTTTGATGAAAACTAATGGCATATTCGTAATCAGGGGGTCCAGTTTTACCAATATCAGGAATAAAAAAATTTATTGCCATTGTCCTTTAAATGTCATAATGAAGTGTTAATAGTGTATATTTTCCTTTTGTAGTCCAAATTTCTTCTCACTGTTAACTTTTGTTAGACACAAAAACATTTGATATTCTATCTCTCTGAAAATAACAGGGATCCGGCCATTCTTTTTCTGAAAAATCGGGGTTCCACCTCTTAGTTTCTAGACATAACAAACTAAAACTTGAGCTATAACAAGAACATGGTATAGTTCATAGCAAGCTTACTTACCTACTAGACTATTAACTAAACATTGTATTAACATCATGTATTTAGTAAATATTACACAACATATATACACTGGATCCAGAAAATTTTGACTGCCAGACATATATGTATATATTAGACATATGTGCATACGTATATAAATACAAGCTTGTTAGTGCAATATTTAAATCGAGGAATCGTTGTTCCCTGAGCCAGTGACACCATGTTTGTGACGCCCAAAGAAAAACTGACGGAGCCATGCAGATAGAAATGCTCCCATTTTCTAACACTGGCTCTGTCGGCCAGTGTAATAAGATGTTTCTTAGTCTTAGTTTAAAATGTGTTTTGCTCGTTTCCTCATTCTTAAAGTAGACACTTATTTTTAACTGTTTTTAGAAGGTTGCCTAGTGTTGCGCATGAGGATACAGAACTATGCAAATGGTTTTATCTGGTTCCTTCTAAATAGAGTCTAAGATTGTTTCTCTATCTTAGGTGATTGCAGCTGGTAAAGAAAAACTGGCTGGTATACCTACAGGTGGTATGGTGAGCAGTGGTGGTGGTGGTGGTGGTGCAGCAGGTGGTGGTGGTGATGCTGGAGAAGCTGCCAAGGAGGAAGAAAAGAAAGAGGAGAAGAAAGAGGAGTCGGAGGAGAGTGATGACGACATGGGCTTTGGACTCTTTGATTAATTACATACAGTAAAACATTTCAAAAAAATTAATAAATGTTGAAAAAATAGAAATTTTGTTGTGTGACACTTTTGTCCTGGAATTCTGGAAAGCATGATACCCGAGTGTTTATTAGGGCATTTGAAAGTCAGTTTTTCACTTCAATCGTACCGAAACGTTAGTTGTTCCCTGAGCGCTAGGGTGGAACGAATGACTTCCACAAAAAGGAAAATGCTACGGTAGGATACGAATTACTGAAGTGGAAAACAGCCTTAAGGCCCGTTTACTCTTGCAATTTCTGCTGCAATTTTAGGTGCAATTTTCTTCTGATGGATGTGGATGAGTTACGAATGCTCAGGTGAGGGTAGCCTGCGAACAGGCTCTCAAGCTGAATTGAGAGCCTGCATCGATGACTAATGAATTTGAATATCTGCCCCGTAACGTTCGTTTTTCCAAATATGGAATGTCTATCCTTATATGGTGTTGTTTACAACTTTCGTGCAAACTAAATTTAGACCGTGCAAACTAAATTTAGACAGTACAGTTTATACTGTTTTTCGAAATATAAGATATTCAAGCAAAAGTTCAAATGTTTTAAATACTGTTTTCTCAAAACAGAACATTTCGTGCTTTGAGAAAGATGGCCAAGACCAATTTGATCAGTTAATGTGTTTTTTATGCATAGTGCTTCAGCAGTTGACATATATAGAGCTCAGCGGAGACATATAAATTATAGCATCTGACCAATGAGAATTTCGCGTCACGATTTGAGACGCAGATATTCAAATTCATTAGTCATCGATGCAGGCTCTCAATTCAGCTTGAGAGCCTGTTCGCAGGCTAAGGTGAGGGTATATCAGTGAGACATACTCAGAACATTCATGGCATGTAGTAAAACACTGACTACCGGAACACCGGAACACCACTGGAACACCGGAACACCACCATTTTGTTTGGGGTTAGGGTTTGGGGTTAGGGTTAGGATTGGGGGTTAGGGTTGGGGTTAGGGTTAGGTGGTGTTCCGGTGGTGTTCCGGCGGTGTTCCGGTGTTCCGGTAGTCAGTGTTTTACTACATGCCAACATTCATAACTTATTTACTCTTTCACATCGATCAGGAGAAAACCGCACCAGAAATCGCAGCATAAATTGCAAGTGTAAACGGGCCTTTAAGACCATGCAGTTGCCGAGAGG